ATATATATATATATATATATATATATATATATATATTAACATACCTTATGAGTCACTCTCTAACTATAGTTGGAACAAGAATAGTGAAACTTTAATTGACATTAATACTCTTTCAAAATTAAGCAATCAAGGCAAAAATAAAAAGAAAAACATTTTGACACACACACACACACACACATTTAACTTCATTATATAGCTATATTGCTAGACAGATAGCATTTTTTACTAGCTTAATTTAGAATGATATCAGTGTGCTAAATGAGATAAATAAACACATACACTAATGTGTAATATGTAATGCTAATTTGACGTTCCACTTAAATAAGAATAACTTCACATATACCTTCAAATTATTTAAAAAACAATAATAGGTATCACAAACCTACCCAGCCGTTTTAAATTAATCAAATTTTGAGACAAAATACTCATATGATTGAATAGATAATCTAACTTGTACAGATAAAAAGATCTTCATTGATAAAAGATAAAAAAAGATAAATATCGATTATATCGACGAGAAAATAAAATCCTGGATTACGATTTAAGATGAAGAAAAATGGATGGAAATAATTATAGATTTTTTGACGAAACTAAACTAAACAGGAAGATCAAAAATCTTAAAATTTATTCAAGATTATTATGAAAAATCATGAATTGATTAAAGTAAACTACAGCACACATCGATAGGAATTGATAAAGTGGAACCGAGAACTAAATCCGACAAGTATCTAAATGCAGCATCGAAGAGAGGTTCCCAACTTTGGATTGATGCGCTCGCAGGTGGCAGATTCACTGAAGGACATGATGCTGAAGGCTATGGGATTCTTGCTATTAAAGAAGGTCTACGGCTTGACGTGAACGAGGGCATCAAATGCTTGCAATCGAAATGCGATGCATCCTCCTCGATGGATTTTGAACATTATCAACGACATATCCCATTGTTGAATCGCGTGGTAATTTTGTTTTGCTGGATCTTTTTCGTGGAAGAAGGTATCTTCTTCAAGGGATGTCCATGCATTCTTCTTGTTCATGTTGGCTGCAAGGGTGCAAGCAGATGCCTCGAAGAGAGGAAAGGTGGTGGTGGTGGTGGCCTCTCCATGTGTTCATGGCCTTCTGTGGCATGTGGTAGTGCAGAAAAGGCTGCCTCAGGCACTGCCAATTCGTGGATTCTCCACGAAGGAAAGAAACAGGTGAAGACAGTGATCCAAAGGCAAAAAGATGTTACACTTCTATCATACCTCACGGAGAGGGAATCCAAGATAGCCTGCATCACCAGTATGTTTCAGTGCCCACTTGGAAGAGTACTTTGTAGGACGTCCATGAAGCTCACAAAACTGAAGTATACAGTCACTAATCACATGCATCCTTCATTGTGATGGTTCATTAGCCATGAGAACTACCTGTCAACTGCTACTTCCAAATGAAAGACTGAGGTCATTACATCTATGGGCCAGAAATGCCAAAAGTCATGCAATACTAGTGGCTGCAATTGTCATAGCAACAAGTTCATCCTTTCTGATTCCTTTTCTGATTCTTTTTCTACCATATTTTGACCAAAACATCATGATGTTGTGATCATGGGACTGGAGTGGTTTGCAGCAAAATCCAACCAGGGCAGTGTAGAAGCATATGCCTGGGGATGGATCATAGACTTCAGATGCACACATGAGAGCATTTGATCACAATGGACTTACAACAAGGGTTCGGCTTCATCTTTCAAGCAACGGTAGTAACACAGATGTTTAACTCTATTAGTTGGGAAATGATGAAGGTGGATAGATTGCTACAACAAAGGGAACACAACGGAGGAAGTGCAGTTGACCATGATGTTTGTGTTAGGAAGGTGGAACAGCTGAAAAGAGCACTGCCTCCTCCAGCTAAAAAGGCATTGACTTGTTGGGAAGAAACTCCAAAAGTGAAAAAGAAGCCTCATCATAAACTATGGTGTATGCACAAAAGAGCCCATTCCTGATACAAAACTTGGGCTTGTGGGAGAGAGATGGCCGTCTCCCTTTGCTTTCTTAATTCAGTTGTACACTGCAATCATTGTGAGGAAAGTAGATTAGCAGAAGCTGTAAAGCTCTTCATCAGTTCTGTGAGGTGCATCTTCTGTGGCAGGCAATTATGTGCTTGGCCTGCCTGGTTTCCTCTTTCCACACCCTGCCAATGTCCTCTGCTATCTTCACAGCATCCAGGGATGCACCAGACAACCCCCTCCTCGTGAATCCAACAGCATAAAGCCCTGAGCTCCCTTTCCATCCATTTGGGAATGGATGCCTTGGGAAACCATCTTTGTTGAAGAAGTCAGTTCCCTGCACAAAATCAAAACCTCAAGGTGTAAGCTTTCAGCGATTAGAGCAAAGCAAATGACATTAACTGCCACCTCTTGTTCATATGGCCACTCCTATTTAATTTGTGTTCTCAGGATCCCAATATTATGCAAACTTGCATGAGCATTAGATCATGTGGAATGCCATGCAGAAGCACATAGAATTACATGTTCTCTTCAAGCTAATAGTAACAAAAGAATTGGGAGAAGAACAAAAATGTGAACCACTTTGATCTCCTCTGACAAGGATTACACCGCATGGAAGGAAGAAAAAGGAAGTTTGATTAACCTGCAGCCATGAATGAACGTTGCTGCGATAACCGGTGGCCAGGATGACCGAATCGACGTCGATGATCGTGTGATCCACCAGCTCTGCCTTGCCATGCAAAAACCTCTTGACTCCAGGAACAACCTTTATCTCACCGCTCTTGATTTTGCTCAGGGCACCGATGTCCAACACGGGTGTCTTGCCCTGCGTGTTCTTCAGCTCCAGAGGACCCTGAGAAGGTCGTTTTATGCCGAGCTTCTCGATGTTCCCAAGTGTCATCCATGACAGGGCCAACAGGACCCTGTCGACCATCTTCAATGGAAGCCATTTCATCAAGGATACAGCGAGCTCAAACGTCGATCTCCCTAATGTCTCCCGTGGTAGCACATGGACCTGTTGCACAAATCACTTGAATCAGTAAACAGAGTCCATGTAAGTGAAGCCAATGACGAGGGAATACAGTCGTAGTTCTTGTAACGTTGTCCTCACCGAGTCACGCACCACCATGGTGGGGAAGGCGTTATGATGACAGAGATCAAAGGCGACTTCCATGCCGGAGTTTCCGCAGCCGACAACAAGCACCTGCTTTCCCCGGTACGCCTCACCGGATCTGTAGTCGCTTGAATGTATCACCCGCCCGCCGAACTTCTCGAGTCCTTCCATCTCCGGGATCACGCAATCTGCATTCTCGCCTGTAGCCACGACTAGCCACTGGCAAATGTATTCCGCCTCGGCTTTCCTGCCCACGGCCTGGCGGCGTCCCACGGCGGTCCTCACCCGCCACATCCCGCAGGTGCTATCGTACTTCGCAGAGAGCACGGTCTCATCGAACTGTGGGTTGAGCTGGAAGTGCCGGGCGTAGGACTCCAAGTAGTCTATGAACTGGTTCTTGGAGGGATACTCGGGGAAGTCATCAGGGAAAGGGAGCTTGGGAAGCTGGCAGAATTGCTTCGGGAGGTGGAGCTTTAATCGGTCGTAGGTGCGGTTTTGCCAGAGGGAGGCAATGCAGCTGGACCTCTCGAGGATCACGAAGGGGACGCCATGCTCCTTTAGGCATGCCGCCACAGCGAGTCCCGAAGGACCTGCTCCCACGATGAGCGGTCCATTCACCCACTTGCACCTTCTCTTAAAGAGATTCTCATGCTCAGCTAAACCAGCCATGATCAAAGAATCAGCGAGACGATTCCAGTGACGAGGAGGAGAAGCTCTTTCGGTAGAACCAGTGGGGTTACGTGAAGGGTTCTAGTGGAGTTGGTATGATGAAATATGGTCGAGAGTTGTGAGGGACGAAGACGAGAAGCAGGAAGAGTTCGCAAATGGAAGAGGGGAGGGAGTGTAGTATAAAGCTCGTTATGGTCAAGTGGGGGAGGTTGAGAGGACCGGAGGGGAGTATATATAAATAGTTGAGCTTGCCATGAGAGCTGCATGTGAGGAGTGTTTTGAGGTCCTTCCAAATCATAACCTTCGCCGTCTACGCCATTTGTTTAACATCTCCAAGACATGGTTTTAATCTCGATATGTTTTCTGAAAGAAGAAGGAAAAGAAACATCGAAGTTATATATATTTCTATTGCAGGACTCAGAAACAGTACTGAGAATTTACGGGCCAACCTCTCCGAGCACCAAAATGCATACTCTACATTTTTGGACGAGTAAAACGCATGACCGAACGCGCAGCAAATTTTGAGGACCTGACATAAGTTAGCATTGCTTGCTGAAGCAAAGAAAGCTGTTCAGCATCTGACACTGATTCTTTTCTCCATCAACTTGATGTTTTATCCATCACTTTCAGATGGCCAGAAAGAATATTGTGTTCTGAAGCATTTGCTGCCTTTCTCTGATCGATCAGGGATTTTGAGCTGGTTGCCATTGTCCAACTTACATACTCTTTTTCGTGCTTCTCCAAGTTTTGTGTTGATCAAACTCTTCAGCGATTTATAGAATCGATGCATCCTTGAGCATTCAATGCAGTATCCACTTTGAAATCCAGCACAGGGAGGGCTTCACATGATCTCCACGCCAGAGGACAGTGCTTACGTAGCGTCTCTTAATCTTCTCATGCATCTAACAGAAGCCTGCAGCTGACAAGGAGAACAGTCCTTCCTGCTACGGGACAAGAACTAAAAACGTTCTTCTTCCGTGCCATTTCGTCAAACACTTTTGCCTTCTAAATTACATGTAATGATTTCTCTCACAAGCAGCTTGCTGTTTCGAAATCGGCAAATAGATCTTCCTCTTGATGGACTCTTTGGCAGCATATTAGCCATTGCTTGCACAATCAACAGCAGCCTAAGCAGTTTATCGTGGACTATCACACACACCTGTTACCTTCACCAAGACGGTAATCAATCTACTGTACCAGTGGCCATTGCTTATGCACTACATTTTCCTGATCATGGTAACTTGAAAGCTTGCCAATCCAAATATTCTGCAACTTCTCTCCATTCCACATATCTAATTGGACCTGAAAACATGCTAATTGGGCATTGAACTAACACACCATGTTGCCGAAGCCATGTGGGAGGAGAGGGAACATTCCAAGGCGAGAGAAAAGGTTGAGAGTGATGCATGAGGCCGTAAAATGATTAGGAGATATGGGAAGGAAGACCGAAAGGGAGAAGAGGAGATACATGACAAGGGGAAAAGGATAAGCGAAAAGGAGTTTTGATTCGAGTACTTGCTGCGGCAAGACGAATCATGCCATCCAACCCATCACAAAAATGACATCAATAGAACGCGTCTCACTGTTAGGAATCTATAAATCTTTTAAGCAGTAGAGCCCCTTCTTTCGGGGTTCTCATGATGATGAAATATTAAATCTAGAAAAAGATTCGGGATTCCAATTCTTGGAGGTGGGGACGTCTTGGGGCCACGTAACGGAAGAAAACGTGGGGGGTTTTGTGGACATCCAATGAGAGCAAGCCACGGGAGGAGGGTCCCACTTGGCAGACGACACAAAAAGTAGCGGATGGGGACGACTCCGACGGGAATCTTCGCATGGCGTGGGGCCGACGTCGAGTATCTATGCTGTCCCGTGTATCGCGTCTTTCCTACGTGGTGCGATCGCCACCACGTCGGACGGCTGCGGACCACGAAGGAAAAGGAGGGTGGGGGGAGGGCCCCACGGGGCGCACGGATTTTGAGGCAGCCTGGCCTTTACAGTTGGCTCCTCCCCACGGCCCATGACGCACTGCTCGTGCCATCTCTGCCCGTGAAACTTTCCAAACCCACCCCGCTGCACCAACGTCCCACCAAAGCAAACAAAGAACGGACTAGAGAATCTTGTAGCGTAAACCCTACCCTCCCACCCAATAGATTCGATCTCGACCGAGGAAAATGACACGTGCACATCCGATTGTGATTTCGATCGGTGCTCGTTTGATAATAAGCCGGACACAGTCACCACTCGAGAAGATGCTCAGTTAGTATACGACGTCACTGACGAGGCAGACAATCAAATTCGATATTAATAAGCTTGAAATCGACTAAAATCTTTAATCTTTCTAAGATGATATGATGTGAGGAAGCATTGGATAGATAGTTTGATTACCTGCTTTTTAAGATACTTATGATTTGTACTAAGAAAATATTAACTTTCTTTTAATTGTCTTTATATATGCAGTAGGTTGTTGACCTATAAGCCCTAATTCTTATATTCCCTATCATTAATAAAGTGTTCCGCGTGTGGAGGCTGAAGCGGTGATCTCAGAAATGATTAAAAGAGTTGTCGTGGATCAGTGCTCAAGTCACGGAAATAATATTCCTACCCTGTAATGATAGGCATCTCGTGCATTAGATCATGTCTTTGTTTCTCGTATAAAGGCTTTATGGAGGGTCCTTCAAGGTTCATTTATTGTTGCGAGAATGATGATCCCGGATGTTAGGATTTGAATAGGAACTTGGAGTGATGGTGAACCCCCCACCAAGTCTCTATAATCCGAGAGTGAAGCTAATGGTGGGGAGGCATGTGCATGGAGGTAGCCCTTGGCTTTTCTTTTAAGGGTACTCTATTCTTTTCATGTCAATGAAGAAAAAAAAAAAGTGTAGGGTAGGGCATTTGGCTTTTCCCGAGTCCTTATATTCTTAGGGCATGGGAATGCATGCTGCCAACTTTGCACTTGGCCACTTGTTAAACCAAAGCTTGGAACTGGATCACTCCAAGGGCAACATCCAAAGGTGATAGAAGACTGCATGCCATCAGTATCCTCATCAAAGCTAGCTTGGTCAGATAGGGATGTGCATGAACTGTCATCACCATGTCTCTCTCTCTCTCTCCATCTCTTTATTACACCCACGCATGCATCTGCTGCTACACATCAAATCCCCACCTTCTGTAACGCCGCTGTAATCGCGCTTTTTGAAGTAAAAAAGAAAAGCTCTCAGCTGCAGAAGCCATGCAGATTTCAACTTTGGACTAATCTAATAGGAAGCCTTTATGAATGCCAGTGGGCACGAGAGAAAGGAGGTGGTACCAGCAGATTATTATATATAAGGCAGAATCCTATGGATAGGGTCTTCTTACACACGCATGACAAAAGTTGTAAAGAGGTGATGGAGAACTTCTCTCTGGTTTCCTGCAATGGCTTCGAGGTTTTCTCGGCCGAATCTATTGCATGGATCCTTTAGAGAAAAAGAACATCCAAAGGTGGAGAGGAAAGGCATATATACTCCATGTTTACACATGTCCTGCGGATTCCGGTCTTATTCATGTACCTTAAAGATATAGTTTTCAAGCCTTTCAATTTTCATGATAAGTTTCTTTCACTTAGTTAAAGCTCACTGCAATGATTATATCATGCATGGGCTGTAGACATTTAGTCAGCTCAAACTTTTCATCTACAATGATTACTGCACATTACTATATACAAGGCAGCGATCAAAGTGTAACCTACCTAGTGAAGAAAAAGGAAAAGAAAAGTGTAGCGTAGGATTCAATTTCTAGCACAAAGCTGTAAGTTGTGTTTCACTGGTTGATTTTTGTATGGTTTAATCATGTGATTTTTTTAAGTCGATTTGATTTAACTAATTGCGCGCCGGTAATGGCATCGACACTCGGCTCTAGAATTGATTGAATGTCAAAAGGAATGGCTTTGATCACACAAGTAGTCAGTCACAATTATTAGAAGATTATGCCAGCCACTAATTTTATATTCTCAGCAAAAGATGGATAAGCATAGATGCAAACTCAACATTTGAAGCAGGCTATGGAATTTAAGATTCTGAATAGAACATATTGATTAGGTTGGATTGGTGTTGGATCATAACAAGGCTAACTCACCAATAGATCTTAAGGTTGATTTTTAACACACACACACACATACAGAGAGAGAGAGAGAGAGAGAGAGAGTTGTGATCAACACAGTGGATCAAATTTAACTGGCCAAGTTGGTTCAGCCACAGGAAAAAAGGGGTTGCCACCCTAATAAACCGATAGCTTTGTACCACATGTACTATAAGAATTTTTCCATGTCAGGCTACAAGCTCAATCATCTTGATAATTTTTAGTCAAAAACAGCATCATAAATAAGCTTTTTTCTTTTGATTTTTCGACTTCGTATCAGAATAAAGAAACAACCGAAGAAGATTTGATGCTCGGCAGCTTCTTCACGCATGAGCTTATTTCACCGGAATACTTTCATCTCTAAACCACACAAAATTCAGCTTGTTTGTCTTATGATTTGAGTCGAATCAGTATCAAGTGACCAGTCCAATGATCATCATAATGTGATCAGAAATAATCATTTGCTTAAAACCCAAAGAGAACTCATAGATTACTGTTCCTCCCCTTCTCCTTCTGGAGTCATCAAGGGAAACCAATATGAATGAAGAAAACTAGAGCTTATTCCTTATGGTTACAACCCCAACATTTGGCCAACTCCCAATGAGCTGGTTCAGTTAATATGATCAGTTGGAAAACAGTTGAGTGTCAGTGAAAAGGCATGCTAAGATAGCATGTGGCATGGTCATATCTTATTCTTTGTGCTCTACATAAGTTCTTAATATTATCATGAGAAGGAGATTCTTTGATGTTCTTGGAGCATGGGATGGTTGAGATTGAGTAATGTTCTTAGTCATAAAGCCTTCTTCCTAGCTAGGTACATCATCACATGGTATATAAAATATTAAACTATGTGATTTGAACCTCTTAACATTAATTCTTGACCTTTGTTTTAAGAAATAATCTTGTCTTTCATAGAAGCTGGTACCTTGGAATGGAAATGTTATCTTGTAGGACTTGAAGATTGTGATCCATGGCCTCTTCCTCCTTGTTTGTGGTTATCATGCCACTTCCAAGGTGCATGCATTAAGTGTCAATTTGATTTCTTGCATTTTTCACACATACGCAAAGCT